GATTTTTAATCTTTGATATATATATTAAATAATATATACGGTAAAATTGCCATTTTGCCACAAATTATAAGCCCACTCTGTATTTTGTCTATTGACCTCTCAAAATTGTTATTATGCTATTATTATATTTTATTTATCGATGTCATGATTCATCATATTTACGCTCCCTAACAGAGACTTTGTTGTCGGAAGATTGAAAGAGTTGAAAATTCTAAATCTAAAATCGAAAAATCTACGACGGCTTTGCTCGTGTGAATCATTCTACAACAAAATTCAAAGTGTTGAGCTTTCGATTCTGAATTGGTTTTCGTCTTTTCAAGCTCTTACGGTAATCGGTAAATTTAAAATCCACATACAAAATCGAACACATGCAATGCTAATCGATATTTTGTCAGAATATGAATGTGAATGAATGTGTGAATGGTGTATGCAAGAATTAGTAGAAGAAATGAAGTGGAAACAGCCAGTTTTTATTAATTGTCTAGAAACAGAGGATTTAATTACTCCATTCTTTTCTCTTTATTCCTATTTCTGTAATTATTCCATTTCTCTCTCTCTCTCTCTCTCTCTCTAGCACTGGTCAGTCTTTTTGGCTTAAACCGCACACAGATTTTGTTAAATAAATCAACACTTGTAAAAGGGAGTTGCTATTTTAAATAAACAATCTAATCTCTAATGGCTGAATATTCCATAAGCTAATATAATAATAATTTTATCTTTTTCTTAAATACGACAGAAAAAAGTATGGGTTATTATTTGAGAACTCATATATTTTGTTCATTGGTTAAGTCACTTTTTGTATATACAAGTCATCATCAACAGGCAACACAAAATAATAATGGTGGTCCCCACCCCAAATATTATAATTTATATTACACATCCTCCTAATTGTTACAGATTTTACATAATTTATCCTAAGTTCAGTCAATTAGAGACAACAATTAATCACCTATATAATTAAAAATTAAGGTTATAATTATTGACATCCCAGAATAGAGAAGCAGCAAATAAAGCTGAGGGGAAACAAAAGTTTGGAACAAAATCTTAATATAGATATAAGATTAAATATTCTTAATCGTTGTTTTGTGAGCGTGTCAGAAATCAGTACATGCAAATTAATTACCTAAAATGCAGATGAATAATATAATCTTATCTTTGGTCTGATTGCTCTTTTATGTAAGTTTGTCCCATGCATGCTAATAAATCATACAATGAATACATTTATAAATCATTAGTTAGATAATAATTCCAAATTTTAAACCCACCAAGAGTTCTGTTCTCAGCACATAGACATTAATATTGGTGATTTGATTTAAATAATTAGGTAGGTTAATTTTTACTTGTGACACACTCGATGAACTTTATCGGGTAATAAACCATACAATGAATACGTTTATAAATTAAAAAGAAATAATACTTTTCAAAAAATTTATTGGTAACTGAGAGAGCCTCGTTTTCAATTTTCGCCTCTGGCCTCCATAACCCTGGGACCGGGGCCTTGTATATAATTGAACGCGTGTATATATATGCTTTCAAGTTTCGATACAGGTTTTATACAAACACGCCCACATATATATGTGTGATTTTGCGAAAACCCACGATGATATAATTTACAATGTATTTGATTCGTTCTACCATCTCCATATTGTACGTTCGATTTAATGTTGTATTTTATATTATACACAAAGGTAGGCTAGATAAATATTTTACAATTTCAGATACTTTTTAGTTCTTTATTGCAAATTCAAAAGTATGGTCTGAAAAAATGTTTTTCTTAGCTCACAATCTAAGAGCCCTAACCATTAAAATTGCTCTAGCCCACCATTCCATAATTTTGATTCTTTGCTTTACCTTTCTGTTACCAAAGCAAAGATCCTATCAGTACTCAACTACATGCAAACCTTTATACAAAAGTCGAGACGAGCTTTACCGCTTTACCCCCATTCGGTAATTTCTTTTTAAAATTGTATTTTCCAGCCTAAAATAGGAAAGTGATCCTTTTGACCAAACTAGTCTAACTTTGTTCCAAGATCGACGTGGATACAGTTCCAACCGATAACGCGCACAAATTATTAAAAAAAAAATTATATAGTAATAATAATAAATAATAACAGTTGATTCTTAAATGAGACAAGTGTTGCATGGATGAAAAACAAAAGAGTTGAGGTGCTACCTTGATACATGAAGGTTTTGGATTTCGATTTGTAATGTCTGGAGTTTATCTTCAATGGCTGTTAATTCGTCTATAGTGGACGACAGTTTATTGACTCGATCTTGTGCTACTTGTTGATATGGTTTGCCAATAAGTGTTACAAAGTCGTTTAAGCTGTCTGTAGTTTCCGAGAGATCCTTTTGCATCGCTTCTTCGAGCTGACGAGCCAATGCATCAGCTGTTCTTCTTACTTTATCCACTACCCTTTGCCTCCCGCTCGGGAAATTCGAGATTGCGAACAGGCTATGGGCAAAAATAAATATATATACATAAATTAGGATTATTGAAAACCTAAATGAATAAAAAAACGATATAGAAAAGAAATTTACGTACCCGCCAGCGGAGCAAAGGCCTAAAGCAAGGAGATCTTCAGATGTGGTAGGCAAGACAGATGTCAGAAGTGATGCAGATAGACCAGATGCACCCAATCCACCGAAAGTAACCAATAGCTGCAAATGGAAATATCGTCAATTTATTGTGATAAAACTGGTTCGGCAAAAATTATTTGCGATGAAAAGATTCACAAGCACTTGCCACTTCACGAATTTCTTGCTCGAAGAGTTTAGAAGCAGCAGCGGCACTGAATTCTCCAATCACAGTTACCCCTCGTTCATGTTTTGTTCTTAGTATCTCACTTGCCTCCATCTGGGACTTGATTGATGGAACAACCGAAGGCCATCTTTTTTCGAATGATTCTTTATACATATTTCCTCTACGAGCATTGTTTGATTGTAACCACGTTGCATATTCCCCAAGGAGTTTCTGAACGGCAAAAACGCTTTCAGAATAAAAATGGATAACATTCCAAATCAATTACACTAGAAAGCCATTATATTATGTCTAAATAGATGATTTAAAAAAAACACTTAACATGCACTCACTTGAGCTTCTAAGAAAGCAGGATCTATTACATCATTTCGAAGCCTTGAAGTCACTGGCATCTGGGAAGATTTATCACCTTTGAGAACATATGTAGCAACAAGATCGATATTTGATAACCGCAGAGTCGATTCTGCGAGTTTGATTGCACGTGCTTGCGCATTATCTATCTGCAATTGTTTGTTCACAAATACAATAAGCACTTAAGGCAAAAAAGAAAAAAGAAATAAAGATATATAGTGCAGATAAACTATATATACCAGAGACAAAATCTGTCTCTTCCAAGAAATGCTATCGCTTTCCATCTTCAATGTATATTCTTTTATACTGCTTAGAATATTATTCACCGAGACCAAGTCCTCTTCGGCTTGCTGTTTCTCCTCCCTGACAAGCTTTTGACAAGCAGAAAGCAACTGCTCAGCAATCTTTACTGGAGTTTCCAGCTTAAGCTTTATTCGTTCTATCCCGTTACTTGTCGATGGATCCAAAAAGCTGTACAAGTACTTTTCAAGATCGGAGAAGTTGTTTGCCCCTGGATATTGAGTGTTCAAGATATTTTCTTGCTTTTGCACACCACTAAAAGCTGAAAGTTTCGCTTCAAGAGCACTCCGTGCAGATACAGTGTATAAGGTGACTTGTTCAGCATTCAGCATCCTCCCAGCGTTTTCCTTGATGAAGGCAACAGCTTCCTCCAACTGCATTGAGAATTTAGAAACTTAATCAGAAGAAGCTCCTACATAGTTCAATTATATGTATTCCAATGATAAGAGATTTTTTTTCTCCATTTGCTATAACCAGTTGAATTCGAGATATTGATTCTACCTCATCCGCATTTCGATACAGGTCCGATTTATTCAGCACGAAAACAACTTTTTTCTTCCATTGTTGAATATAGCGAAGAAAAGCAACCTGACAGACCATGAGAGAATAAAGATTAGCTTCTAAGGTAAAAGAGAGGGGAAGATGGGGGATAAAAGGCCATCTACTATCAATATAGACATATAGGCATGTAGCAGAGGTATATTATGCAAACATGAATTCCCACTCAGAAATGTACTTACTAGAAGTCGAATATGTTAATCATGGTAAAGAAGAACAAAACAAGTTGGAAGTAAGTCATACCTCACTTTCAGTCAATGGTCGGTCAGCCGACATGACAAAAAGAAGCAAATCTGCACGAGGTACAAATTCCTCGGTCAACCGTTGTTGCCTTTGGAGAATCACATTTGTTCCAGGAGTATCAACAATTACCATCTGCTCGGGGAGGGTACAAAAACGAATATTAGGTGTTTATGGGAAGTGTATCATCAGATAGTTAAGACAAGTAAGAAAGTCTACTTCAGTTTATGAATCCAAAAACAGACCGAATCACACCTATAGACGTAAACAGCACCAACTGAAAGAGATGAATGATTATGCAATATCTAGAAGATGATGAGTCCACAAAACAACTCCTAGTAGAAGCATAATTTCCATGGAAACAGAAGCATATAATTAGAAAACGAAGGTGTACCTTTTTTTAATAAAGCAGTACATAATTAGTGTAAAAGAAGTACGTAAAATTGAAAATAAACCCTTCGAGATTGTGCCAGTATATATCTGAGTGGTTAAAGAACTCACTTCTTTCAGAACTGGAGCAGGTATGTAGCATATGTATTGGCCATCGGGATGCCTTTCACACCGTTGTTCACTAAACTCTGACTCAGAATAGCGTAGAAAGGTAATTTCATTAGTTGTAGGAATAACCCCATCCTCTAAGTATCTTTGCCCAAGAAAAGCATTGATAACACTCGACTTTCCAGAGTTGAACTCTCCCTGGTAAAAACAATACAGCGAGAATCTTATCTGAGTTTCTTTTGGGGTCTACGAAAATCGAAAGTATGCTGCTTCTCCCAGTCTACTTGCACTCACACTAAGGACCCTCAGATATTTTTTATGCTTCCAAAGGTTAAATTCTCCAACAGTAACAAACAGAACCAATTTAAATGGGGAACCAAAGAATAGAAGAGAAAGATACATCAATTGCACAAAGTTCCACAAAATTCAATCCTGAATTGCACAACAAAAGCATTTTAAGGACCCTCAGATATTTTTTATCTACGTTTAAATGTATGTTTACATATCGATTACCTTCAAAAAGCATTTGTAAATGGTAACACTAAACACGTGCAAGAAAAAAAAATTGTTTTCTTGTCGTAAAAAATTTCATTGAAAAAGGTTACGACTCGATATCAGATTAAACCACAACCAAGTAATGAACAAAATTTGCATTGAAATTTAGAGCTAATACCCATGTATATCTGTGGAACCAATTTTGGTTGAAGTTCAGCACACAATTACCACTATAACCAATGAAAATGGCTCGTTAAGTTGAGAAACAGCATCTTTGAGAAGTGAGATATCCCCCATCTGCCATTTAAGATTGAAATTCAAATCAGCTGTAGCAAAAACACCAGTAGCAGAAAAAACATATCATGTAAGAACGCCTTTAACTACCAAAGTTTTTAACAATGAAAGATCACCAGTGGTGCAGCTCTTTGGATGACATCAATAGCTTCAACCAAAATCGATCTCTCTTTGTCTATGAACTGCTTTTCTCTCTCTTCCAATCTGGTAAGCCCAGAAATCATCTTCTCCCCATAAAAGCCATTCTCCGTATCTTTGGTTCTGATATTGTCAAAACTTTGACCGACATCCTCTACCTTCTTATTTGATGCATACTCACGGTAAAACAAATTGTTCAAGTCATCTTCACTCAACAAGTTCAATTCATCCACTGAAACAACTAAACCACTAACTCCTGATCTAAGTGAATCTGGTGATATTTTCAAGGATGTACCGTCCTTAAGAGAATCAATCATGAGAAAAACTGGTATTCTTACACGGCCAAACACGGAGGTAACCAGATCTTCCAGCTGAGCATCTTCGTTAATGGTATAAATAAGAAAATCAGCACCCTCAGAATTAGAAGCATCTAATGCAGCATCATGAGTCTGGACATTTCTTGCTACCAAAGGAAGAATCACTGAATCAGTTTTTGCATCCATCATGGTGTTCCTTGCCACAATAGTAGGCAGACCTATCAAGTATTAAAAACACTCGAATTAACCAAAAAATTAATAAAATGAAAGCTAACAGGAACTCAAAGAATTTAACAACTAAAACGAAGATCAACCTAATCGAATAACAAAATACCCAATGAAGAAAAATACAAATCCAGATATTGTAGTTTACCTCAGATCAAAATGTAGTAATTATCATATTGATTTCAAAAAATAAAAACCAGCCCATAAAATTAGTTTTCATGTCTCTCACAATCACATATTCATTTAAATAACTCTCTTCTGCCATATCCTTCAAACAAATCCTTCCCCACAAAATGAAAGGGTTAAAGCAACCTAACAAAGTTTCCTGTTCAGGTAATTAAAACTTCAGCAAAGGAATTAGAAATACTTCTATTCAATTCCAACTGATCTTCATAAATTTCAATTACATGGATCCAAATACATTTAAGAGCGAAGAGTGGTGTGATCCGCAGAACATGAGTGATATTTCATTGGTTGCTAAAATAATTGAGCTCAAAAACCATGAAGTAAATAGATGCACCAACCTTGATCAGAAAGCAAAACGCCGCTGGCATTAACCGCAGCAGCAATATCGACGCGCTCATCGATCAACAAGTAAGCACGATCCCGTATCACAGACTTCAGCAAACAGGCCGCCTCATACAACTTCTTGCCGCTGCCTTCGCCGCCGGTAAGCAGTACAATTCCAACTCTACCGGAAACGGCGTCGTCAACGGCGTCAAGTATCGCCCTATCATCTCTTAACACGTCATCGGAGCTTAATCTGAGGATTATATTCGGCACTTTGATCTCCGGACGCTTGTAACCGCCGGGAAACAGACTTCGCGGCGGATTCTGGTTTATAGAGCTAGAGATTAGAGCATTCCGGCCGCTTGATGCGGCGTAGCGAGCGAAGTAGAAGATCTGCGAGGGGCGATAACGTGGAGTTCGTAGCGAGGGTTTGGGAGAAAGTAGAAAAAGGTGGGGAGAGAGGTTAGTGGAGGTTACTGGGGAGAATGAAGAAATTACCATAGATATATGGTGGCGGAAGCGGAAGCGGAGGCGGAGGCGCGTGGGTGACGGTGGTGGAAGAAGAGAAAATTGTGATTTATGATTTGTGGCGGTGAGTGTAAAAGAATTGCTTATCCAAATTGATGGGATTATTGAAATGCGGGCAACGGTTTGAATATCCGGACGGTGTATTCTTTATTTTCTTTCCTTTTTTTTTTTTTTTTGGTGGGCCCTACCGTTCTTTTTGAATAGCTGTGTGCTATAGTTGAATAGTCTATAATGCCCTGGCACTTAGAGTTTAAAACAGAAATTATTAGTTTAAATAAGGGTAAATTGCACTTAACCCCCTTGTGGTTT